GTCAGATAGCCTACCGTTAGCAAAATTGCTTTCAGGTTTGATAAGTCACTTTGCGTGTGCTAAATTAATATATTTACATGTTCTCCTCCCACAAGACGCACTTTTGCGTGTAAACGCCCCATATTGCATATTCATTGCAGAAAAAGTACTAAATGGATAAGAGGTGCTATTTAGCACGTTTTAAAGACCAAATCATTTTAGCACGCTGTTGATAGTTTAGTTTGTACATTTTTTAGCGTGCGCAGTGAAATAGCTCACGTTTTTATACGCGCAAACCTTTGATAGATCCGGCCCTTTCTATTTTCTCATATATTCATAATTACATGACAACAAAAACACTGTGGTTAATTATACACATCAATTTACTAACATTAAAAATGATAAGTACAGAATTCATAATCTTTTCAGAACTAGATTTTGTGTTTCATGGGGTTTAAAGAAAATTATGTGTCTCTGCACATCATCTATGAATCTTCAGTAAAATTATAAATAACTATTTTAATAGAAACGTATCAAATAATCAATTTATGTAGATATTAGTACTTGTAAATATCAGTTCTATGCAGAATGACTATTGATACAAGCAGGTAAGTAATGACAATAAGAACAAATTTTTGACCCAGAACTCAAATCTGAAATAATTGTATTTTATATACATTTTATTTAGAAAGCAGGGATGTTTAAATATATGCGTCTCTGTTAGCAAAAGCTGTAGGAAAGTATAGTTTGTCTTATCTTTGGTTTGACGCTGAGGTTCTGGCGCCTAACCGCTTTTAGCCACCCCTCACATTGGTTATTGCCTGGATACCCTTATAAAAATATTTCTGGCTACGCCTCTGTAAGAGCTACATCCAAAACATAACAGAGCATTAATTTATGCCCAATTAAGTTTTGGTGTGTCTATTATTATTTCTTTATTCCCTAACATCATTAATGCCTCGATCTTTTGGCAGCCAGGGTGTAGAAAATAACATAAAGCACGTGTGAACAAATTACACAAAATGAACTTGAACGGGATCCGGTTTACATCGTTCATGCAAAAGAGCCAGCCCATAAAGTCGGCTCCGCCGCGACAGACACATCCTCGCTACATTTAGCTAACTGCTGCTTCTCATGCTAAGCTATCAAACAGGTTGTTCATGATTAACGGAGTGAAGGTTTCATCGTGAGGCGGACTTTGACAACACTCTGAGACTCATGTGGAAACACGAATATGTGACAGCATCCAAAAAACCCTGACAATGGAGAAGGTAATGAACGAAAAAATGGATTATAACGCTCTGTTTTGCTAGCTGATAAGCTAACTCGTGACAATGTTTGCGACAAAGCTTTTAAGCCACAACGGTAACAGTTGTTAATAATAAAAAAAGGATGCTAACTGATAATGTAAGACGAGTATTTGAATACCGATAAGGTGATTTCTTATAAGAAATATCTTGTATTTCTGACTAGCTTGAGCAGCATACAACTGTCAAACAGAGCACAAGATTTACTTGTCTGTCGTAATCTTAATAATAATTTCCTGTTACATAATTGTTTAATACTTTCTCCCTTTTTTAAGCTTGTTTTTGACATCTTTATGTTTTTAAGGAGAGCAACCCGACATTTGCTGCTGTTTCTCCTCGGGCTTTGGGTCCTAAACACCAGATGAAACGAATGAGTCGGACTCCTGATACTTCCTCAGCTGCAGCTCCTCCCCTAATCTTACCAAATCCTTATGTGTCCAACCTCACTTCTGCAAGGTACGAAGATTGGGAGTGACTATTCTTATCGTAACTCGACTCTTGATCTTATATCCACTTTAAAATCGTGTTTTTTATTTAGGAATTGGACAGATCTGAGCCAAAAAAAAGCAGGAAAGGGGGAAGATGCTTCGAGAAGTCAGGGCTTCAGCAGCAGACGTCCTGTTAAAGAGGCCAGTGACAGAGATAAGCCTATTTGGGATCCACAGTTTAAGGTTTCTTATCTTATTTTCCTTTTACTCTGAACATTACAGAAAGGGAGATAAATGTAATCCCTGAAAAAGATTTCAATCATTTTGTCTTTATAGGCTTTAAAAAGCAGCAATGAACCACAAGGCAGACACGGGGGCAAAAACTCAATGGATGCACAGAAAAAAGGTAGCTATCGTTGATTTCAGTAGATGTAGATGCTACTCAATGCAAGGTAGGAAGATCAGGAGTGATTAGAGAAGCCAATTAACCTAACAGTCATGTTTTTGAACTGTGGGAGGAAGTTGTAGTACCCGGAGACAACACCATATGCTCAGGGAGAACATGCAAACTCCATGCAGAAAGACCCTGGACCGGGTATTGAACCCAGAACCTTCTTGCTGCAAGGCAGCAGTGTTACCCACTGCGCAACTGAGCAGCCATCTACCTAATGATGAATTGTATAAACCCTGTGGAATTGCTACTCAAAATTTGGATTCATTGTATGTTAAAAATCAGATAAAATTCTTAAATTTTGAAAATAATTTCCCTATTTCTTTGCTACTTAACTACATTCCTTGAATAAAGGAAGTATGATAGATCAGTTCAGTTTATTCATATTGTACCAATTCACAACACATGTCATCTCAGGGCACTTCACAGTTCACCAGATCATACAGTCTTAGGGTGAGATAAAGTAAAGATCATCATGCATTGCCACCAAAGTTGAATAATGCAATGTTAGTGTATGTTAAAGTGAATTACAATCAGCAATTTGCTCATTTAGTAGATACTTTATGTTTTTCATATATGCTATTGTTATACGTAAATCATTATTTGTGTGCATTTTTCCTTCATGCTTACTTTTATCCTCTTCAGGTGTCAGACATGCCAGGTCCGCCCCAGCCTCTGGAAGGAACTCCACACCAGCGCAGGCAGATTTTGTCCCGTTTGAAGTCAAGATGGTGGATTTTCCAGAGTTAGCCAGCGATTTGCAGAAAACAGCGTCCTGTGCTGGAGTGCCAAAAGACCGCTGGGGTCCAAGTCCTCACTGCACAAATCCACAAACTGAGAGGACTTCCTGGAGGGTTAGTTTCTGTATGGTTACTGTTTCTAAATTGGATATGATGAAAAGTCAAACTTATACATGTCTGTTGTACTGATGGCTTAAATCTAGCTTTACATTGAGCTGTTTTTATTGTATCACACAGGCTGGCAGAAATGAGGCTCCATCAGAGCTTGGCTCCTTGCACAACACCAGCCCTCTTAACCCAGCAGGTATTTGGTGTAATAGCCTTTGAACAGCAACATCAGTCATTTTTAATAAGTCAGAAACATCTTTCTTTGTAAACAGATCAGCCAGTGATCACATCATGGGCCAACATTGCCTCTCAGCCCCCCAAGAAACCAGATGTTACAGACAGGAAAACAAACCACAGTGACTTGCAGGTATTGTTTTTTTTTCTGTTTTAATTCTTAATCTAAAAGGTTTCCCTCTTTGTCCTTTTCTTTTTCTTTATGTTTAGGACATTTCAAAGTGAATCATTTGGGAGTTTTGCTTGAAGTTAATCAGCCAGAAACTCCCTAGGTCTTCTGGGTTGTATAATGATCTACACAACAGAATCGCGATTATGGAAAGTTCAGTATCAAGGAATGGGGAGAGTGTTTGTAGCAGAAACATAAGAGACCATTGCTCATCAGTTTGTGTTCTGTTGGGTTTTTTTTTCTGTTGTGTTTTTGAAAATTTAAAGTAGGGTTGGATAAACTGTCTCCACGCCTTGCTTTTTGCCCCAATCATGGCGTAGCATCATGGTTTTTGGGGTGTGATCTTCTAACAGATCGCTGCATCAGGGTGGATGTACGACATAATGTAACATTGGTTGTACAAGTTTGATGTTGGGATTTTTCTGTAATCAGAAGAGAAACAAAAAAACATAAAGGATCAGATATATTTACTGATATTTGGACAAATGTCCCTTGGTAAGCTGCAAAGAAACAACTCACTTTAGCATCATTCTGCTTGGACAGCTGACCACATCAGAAATGGCTTAATTTCTTTAAATTGCTTTGCTCCCTTGTGTTGACCAAACTTTTTTTTTTTTTTTTTAAGCAGCATCCAGCAGTTTTCAGTGGATTTTGGGGCTACTTAACAATTAGCCTGCCTTATTTATACGAAAAACCAGTTCTGGAGTGTTTCTTATAACAATCCAGCTGTTGATATTAAGGTGAAGTTAAAGAATTTAGAGGTGCTTTCTCCTTCTTCATTGCACCTCCTGGTGCAGTGTTCTGAAATGCTTCATCTTAACTCCTGTAAAAACACAGTTCTTTTCAAAGAGGCAGAAAAGTTCAATCTCTCTCTAGTCTGTCCATGGTTTTCTGCTCCATGTGGACAGTTGTAAAAAGCTTTTTTTTTTTAGTGTATCAGCGGTTCAAGTTTGTTTCCAAACATCCTAAACAATTTCTGTCATGTAATGATGGTAAATTTCTAATAAAAGATTGTTTAATTGGAGGCTTACAGTAGTCTCTGTAAATGGTTTCTCAGAGGCAGTAGACTTCAACTCTATTAACGATTTCATTAATCTACAGCTAGACTTTTCTATGCTAGGAATCTTATTAAATGATCAAATCTGCTCAGAAAAGAGAACAAATGTACTGTCAGAAGCTTGTTGATACCTTCCCCAAAGTTGTGCAACTTCAAGAGGGACTTTATCTCAATGTAGCTGTGAATTAGTGGTGAGTATGTGTATTAAGTTAAACCTTTATGAATTTTCACAGCAAATAGAACACTGTGCATTAAGGTTGGGTGATATTTTCCAACAAATGGCTATGGACGATATGTGAGTGTAGGTGACTTTGTGAGAAAGTCAAGCACACCCTCAGAGTGCATCTTCTGCACTCCTGGTGATATTGTTAACA